GTCCGCCTTTGCAGCGGCGCAGTGCGGCCCCGCCCAGTGGACGAGCGCCTGGCAGCCGTGCAGCGCCGCCCACTGACGCTCGAGGCTCTCTGTCGCTCCCGCCGCGCGCGTGGCAGCCAAGGCCAGCGAGCGGCATTCCACGTACAGCTCGAGCAGGGACGCCGAGTCCACGTGCGCGCCGAGCGCTGCGCTGCGAGGCGGGCGCAGGATGGTCGTGGGTACGCCCTCGCACACCGCCGGCTGGCCCCACAGCCGCTCGAAGCAAGCGACGATGGCCTCCGCGTGGACGACAGCAGCCCGCGGGCCGCTGACCTGCGTCTCGCCAAAGCCGCTCTGCCGCCACCCCTTCCAGCACGCGCCCTGTGCGTTCGGCCCTGTCAGCGCGCGGAAGACTGCCTGCGCCGTCTCGGGCCCGAGCCGCTGCTTGCGGTCCTTTGGGTCGAACAACAATGCCAGCCGTGCTTGCGCACCGGCCCTCCCGGCGTTGAGATCGAAGCCGAGGTTTTCGTCCTCGGCTAGAGTGGGCGGCAGCCGACTCTGGTAGGCCTGCTGGAGCCGCGTGAGGTGGTGCAGCAGGGTCGTGTCGGAGTCCTCCACCTCGGTCAGCTTGTGCGCCGCGAAGCTGGAGCGAGGCCAGGACATCACTGTTTCGTTTTCTTTTTATTCAGCATATACCGCCTCCAGTCCGAGCCTGACTGTTCTTCACCTTTCTACCTACCTACCTTACCCTCTTGCTACCGGTTGCCGACTCTGCGTGGCCGACTCACACAGCGAGCCTCCCAGCCTCCCTGTCTCCCTGCCTGCTGCCGATTCATCGGTCGTGCTCAGTCAAGAGATGTAGAGACCGACCGACCATATGCACAATATCTTGACTGAGAGCTAAGCCCAGTTCGACGATCGGCAGCCTCACGGGTCGCGCCGCTGGGCCGCTGCGCAGCGAGAGGCAGGCTCGCCCGGCGAAGGTTGACCAGAGAGTGCTCAACAAATACCAGAAAAAATTCAGGGAGCCTCAGGGACAGGGTACAGGGAGTGCCACTGCCACCACCCAGGCCGCGGGAGCCGATCGGCTGCGCCGAGGACAGCTCCCTTAGTGTGCGCAGAGAGGCGCTGTCCCAGCCACTTTGGCGGCCAGCCCCGGTCGAGTTCTTCGACTCTGACAGATCGATCTGTCAGAAAGGTACCGTCTGAAAAGTATTTGCTGCGAAAAAATCCCCGGGCAAAATGTTTTCACAGCGGGCGTGATTCACAGGTAAGCATGAGCGAAGCATGGGGTAGCAAAAGCATGGGGTTGGACTTTTTTCTTGGTTGTCACAGAGTGAACAATTCGGACACATCCCTGTAACCTCTTGCTTCGCAACCCCGACGCGCCACGGCCGATAGGCAGTTGTATCTCAAGCTATCTCAGAGCTGCTGACGACGACTCGCGAGCACCGGCGCAAGCAGCGCCGTCTCGCCACAGCGAGAGGTCATAGCGGGTGGGTAGGCCCTAAAACGGCGGGAGGGGTAGGGCTATATCGACAGAGATAGAGGGCTCAACAATCCCCCCACCCCTCCAACTTCCACCCCTCCACCCTCCCGAAGCGAGAGAGGTCCGTCTTCGAGCCCTCCCACTTCCACCCCTCCGACCGGAGGGCTCGCCAGCCCACAGGGCTGGAGGGGTCCCCGTCGGATCGGCGTCGGGAGGGCTCCCCACAGGGCTAACCCCCTCGCGGGACGCCGGGTGGGCTCGGAGGGACGGTCGGACAGGGGAGGATCTTCGTGGCGGGAGGGCTCGAGAGGGGTCGGAAGGGCCCTCCGGGAGGGTCGCAAAAAGATAAAGAAAACGAAGTCGCGGCTTATGTGACTGCCCCCCAAGAGGGCTCGGAGGGCTCGGAGGGCTCGGGAGGGCTGGAGGGCTAGAGGGCTCCATTAGGGCTCGGAGGGGTCGATCCTCTGACCCCTCCGACCCCTCCGACCCCTCCGACCCCTCCGACCCCTCCGACCCCTCCGACCCCTCCGACCCCTCCGACCCCTCCGAGCCCCCCGAGTTCCCCGACCCCGGCTCGCAAGCTCGCCTCCAACCCCTCCGAGCACTCCATCCGAGGGCTTGAAGGGCTCGGAGGGCTCGGAGGGCTCGAGCTTCCGAGCCCTCCAGACCCCTCCGAGCCCTACTGGAGCCCTCCAGCCCTCCAAGCCCTCCGAGCCCTCCGAGCCCTCCAGCCCTCCGAGCCCTCCGAGCCCTCCGAGCCCTCCGAGCCCTCCGAGCCCTCCGAGCCCCCCGAGCCCGGCTCGGCGGCTCGCCCCTCCGAGCCCTCCGGGCACTCCATCCCTTGTGAGCCCTCCAGAGCCCTCCCGAGCCCACCAGCGCCACCCTCGTGCCTCTCTGCCCTCCGAGCCCTCCGACCCCTCCGAGCTCTCCACCTCTCCCAATCCCTCACGAGCCCTCCTACGCCTCGCTTTTGGCCAGCCCTCCCAGCCCCCACCCCTCCGAGTGCCCTCCTGGGCCCTGCCGCCTGACACCTCTATCGGTGGAGGGCTTTAGGTCACGGTACACACTCCCGCCCTCCCGACCCCTCCACACCCCTACAGCGGCACCCCTACCCCTCCCACCGTTTTAGGGCCTACCCACCCGCTCTCCGAGACGCGAGAGGTGGCCGTGGCTGCTTGCGCGCGGCGTCACGTCTCTCGGCGTTTTCGGCCTCTTTTGGGCTTACAGCCGCGACGAGCTCGCTCTCGGCGACGTGGCGGCGCTGTATCAGACCATCCCGCTGTGGACCATCCTCTTCTCCTATCTGTACCTGAAGGAGAAGCCAAACGCCGCGCAGGGCGTCGCGGCGACGCTGGCTTTGACGGGCGCGATGCTCATCGCGCGGCCCACATTTGTGCGGCAAGCCATCGGCGCGGCGGGTCAGGGCGGCAGTCGGCAGCGTCCGAGGTGGACGAGGGTCAGAAGCTGCTCGTGATTGCCGTCGTCCTCGTCTCCGCGTTTGCTTCTGGCAGCGGCCTCGTCTGCTTCACCGTGCTCAGCCGACACGGTGTCTCGTCCGGTTCCCAGCTCTATACCTCACGATGGGACTCGGCACCTGCTTCTCGATCGCCGTCGCAGCGTCCGTCGGCGCGTTCGACGTTCCGCCAGAGAAGGGGCTAGCCGCGTGGCTGTCGGTGCTCGGCGTGTGCGTGTTTGGGACCCTCGCCACGCTCTTCAATTGGTCTACGCGGTGCGCCTCGACTCGGCGACCACCCTCGCCCTTTGCCTCGAGCTCGACGTGGCCCTCAAAACTTTGTCTGGGACGCGGCCGTCTTTGGCAAGAGCGTGGGCGTGGCCTCAGTGGCTGGGGCGGGGCTCATCTGCGTGGGCGTGCTGATCCTCACGCTCAGCCCAAGGGTGGAGCAGAGCACGAACGGGGTGGGGGTCCACGAGGGCGACCAGCCCGCCGGTGGTGGCGCGCCTAGCCACGGCAGTGACAAGCTGCTGCCCCCAGGAGTGCCACGTAGCTAGACCGAGGTGGTGTTTGAGCGAGTCTCGGACAGGGTCGGCAGGGAGCCCGAACCTGCATTTGCCCCCCGGTTGTTGATCGTTGTTGCCCCATGGTGGCTTGACGCACTTTTGCGTGCTCAAAACCCTTCCAGAGCTCTCCATGCCTCGCGCGGTGAGGCTGGCGTCCTCCATGCCTCGTGCGGTGAGGCTGGCGTCCGAGGCCCAGCGTGCAGTTCCAGCGGGCGTGTTGCGCAGCGACGCTCACGCTGCCGTGGAGTTGACCGCGTCTCCGTTGAAAGCGGGCGCAGCTGAAGAGCTGACCGCTTCTCCCGTGAAAGCGGGTGCAGCAGCAGCCAGTGCGCAGCCGCAAGCAAGCACGCCTCGTTACTCCGCAGCGTGCATGATTTTGACACTCATGCCAGGCTCGCTCTTGACTACCATCGACCAAGGCGTGATGGACGTGTGCCTCGTCACGATTGCAAAGGAGCTGGCGACGCCGCTGCACAGAGCGCAGTGGGTCGTGCTCGTCTACCTCCTGCTGAGCGCCTCGACTCAGGTCGCCGCAGGCCGCTTGGGCGACCGCTACAGCAAGCCGCGCGTGTACCGGGTCGGGCTGCTGATCTTCATCGGGAGCTCCACCAGCTGCGCCTTTGCGCCCTCCATCGAGGCGCTGATTGCGCTGCGTGCCGTGCAGGGCTTGGGCCAATCGCTCATGAGCAGCAACTCGCTCGCGATGGTCAAGTTCTTCACCAGGCCAGAGCAGACCTCGGTCGCGATCGGCTACAGCCACAGCATGATTGGCTTGGGCATGAGCCTTGGGCCGCCGCTCGGCGGGCTGCTGACCTCGGCCTTCGGCTGGCGGAGCGTCTTCCTCATCAACCTTCCCACAGGCGCGCCATCCAATTTGTGGTTCCCCACTTGTGCACACACAGCCATCCTGGTGTGCATGCCTCGAAGAGATCCGCATCTGCCCACACCCGAACCCTCGCCAGCCCTCACCCGGCAGGCGTGCTCGCGATGGCGCTCGTCTGCACCCTCCCCGACACGCCCGCGTCCGGCGGCGTGTCGCTCGACCCGGTCGGCAGCGTGCTCACCTTTGCGTCGGTCGGAGGAAGCCTCTTCACCCTCTCGGCCGCGCAAGAGCAGGAGGCAGCAACCTCTCTGTGGATGGCGGTCGGCTCGGCTCTCCTCCTCCTCCTCCTCGCCCTGTGGCTGCGGTGCGCCGCGAGGCCGCTCGTGCCGCGGCCTGTGCTCGCCTCGTGGCCGATCCGCTGCGGCGTCCTCTCCGCGTGCGGGCTCTACTTTGGCGTCTCGCTCGCGCGCTACCTGACGCCCCTGTACCTGCAGCTGGGCATGGGGTGGAGCCAGGCAGACACGGGGCTGGCGATGCTGTGCCAGCCGCTCACCTTGCTCCTGGGAGGGCTGGGCAGCGGGCGGCTGGCGGCGCGCCTAAGCGCCAGGGCGCAGACCGCCCTCTCCCTGCTGCTGCTCGCGGCGGCCATCCTGCTGCTCGGCGCCGGCCTCGGCTCCTTTTGGCCGATGGGAGCGAGCATGGTGCTGCTGGCGGCGGGGCAGTCGCTCTTCCAGCCCGCGAACGCCGGGTTTGTGCTGGCGTTCGCCGCGCAGGATCAGCTCAGTGTCGTCGGCGCGCTCCTCGGGATGGCGAGAGGAATCGCATTGCCCCTCGGCATCGTGTGCTGCAACGCGCTGCTGTCGGCCCTGTCGCCTCCGCATGCGGCCTCGCTCGACGAAAAGAACGCCTCGTCCACGGCCGCGACGGCGGCCATCGATGCCGGCGCCGCTCGCACCACCGTGTGGCTGTATCTGCTGCCCACGGCTGCGGCGTTGGCCGTGACTCTGATGCGCGGCAAGCCGCCCGAGGCCATCTCCGTCGCACGCAGGACGAGTACCGAGAGCAGCGGCCCTGTGCGTGTTAGGTCGTAATCACATAACAAGCAACAACCACAGTCTCCGGGCCCAGGTCACACACCTGAGATCACACTTCACAGCGATATAAGAAACGGAAAGAAAACACACGGTTGTTCGGTTCACCTTCACGGACAACCCTGCCAACGGAGGGAGGATGGGAGGACGGCACGCCGCCACCACACTGCACACAGGGATTTCACGGAAGGAAGGTGTGTGCCTGTTGCTAGCCTAGGAAGCTAACCGTCGCCCACCCTCTTGCGTCTTGGCACTTGGGCGTGCGTCTGCCTCTTCCTATCTCCCTTCGCAGCCCTCGCAACCTTCATGCCACCTCGCGGTCGTCCCACTCTCCTCGTTCTCTCTCCTGCGCTTCATGCTCTGTCTCGTCCCTCCGCTCGATATCTCTCGTTCTCTTCTGCTGGAAAAAAGAAAGAAAAGGGACAACCCAAGGGAGGGATGGGAGGACGGCACGCCGCCACCACACAGGGATTTTAAGGAGAGGGGTGTGGTGCGCTAGCCGTTCTTTTCTGCTGTGAGGGGGGGTTCCTCATTCTACCACCCAAGACAGCTTGCAGAGCTGCGAGAGCTCCCGGTCACGCAACATTTCGTAACGACTAGAGGGCCCCTGCGCGGGCCCCGCCCCCCCCTCGAGGGGGGCGGGGCCCTTGCGACGGAGAAGAGGCCAGAATCGTACAGCAGCAGACGACGGACAACGAAGCAGTAGAGGCTTGCTAGGAAAATTGTAAGGCCGCCGTCAGCCGGGTTTAGATGTGTCTTTTTCGCGGGGAGGTGCCTTAGTGCCAGGTGCACCACATGTCTATGAGGTGTAATAAGCAAGACAGCGGCAGACAACGCGTCGCCACACACACAGAAGCACGCATATACTATGATACTCTCTCTCCTCTCTGTCTAGCGCCGACGCCTAGTCGGAGGGCAACCAAGACGCGTCGCTGTCCTCGTCGGAGGCGCCGCCGACATCGGAGTCGATGCTGGAGGAGTCGCCGTCGGTGTAGGACGCATCGGAGGAGTCGTCGGTCCCGAGCGTCTCGCAGTGAGAGGCGTCCTCGTCGGAAGAGTTGCCCGCCTCGAGAGAGTTGCCCGTCTCCACGGCCGATGTCGACGGCCCGCACACATCACCCGCCGCCCGTATGGCCTGCTCGAGGAGGGAAGACTCCGACTCACTGTCGGACGCCGCCTCCGCGGCCGCCGAGCCGCACTCGTCACCAGAGCTCCCGCCCTCGTCGCTCTCGGGAACAATGCACGAGCGGAAGCCCATACCGCGAGTGCGGGGACGACGGGCTATGAGTCACATGCTAGGCTTGGCGGCGGCGGCACGCCCGTTGCGGACAGGGCGCGATGCGGACGCCGGCGAGGCGGCGGCGGCCCGCTTGGACGGGGTCAAGCTCTTGGCCTCCTTGCTCCCCCCCTCGGCCGCCACGCCGGAGGGCACCTCTTTGGACGGTGATGCGGAGGACGAGGAGGAGGAGGAGGAGGAGGCAGAGCCGCCTGCGGAGGGGAGGGGACCGAGGCCCGCCTGGAGGATGGCCAGCTCCTTCTGGATGGCGGTGGAGACCTTGCCAAACGCATCCAGCTTCGTCGCGAGCGCCTTCACCTCTTTCGTGACCGGGGCGATCTCCCGCGCGACCGCCTTGTCAATCGAGTCCCCGAGGATGGCCAACTGCTCGCTGAGGAACTCGTTCTGCTCGCCGAGGACCTGCTCCACCTCCTCGGTGTAGGTGTGGGCGGCACGCGCAGCAGCGGCCGTGGACCCGGCAGTGGAGCTCGCGTCGTCGGAGTCGTCGTCCTCCCCCGGGTCGGTCCCGCCCTCCTCCTCCGCCTCGGCCGCGGCCTTGAGCGCCTTGGCGATCTTGGCGTTGCACTTGGAGATGTCACTATCTGACAGGCCCTTCCCGTTCGTGTCGGTGAAGGAGTAGCTGACGACAAGCTTGTTGCTGTTGAATGCGCCGCGCAGGATAGCGATAGCGACCGCTGGGAGCTCGGTAAGCACGACCGTCGTCTTGTAGAGGGAGGTGACCCACCTTGCCTCTGAATCCTTTGCCATCCCCTCCTGCTTGAAGTTGAGCAGCTTGCGAGAGCGGTCCGAGTTCTGGAGCAGCTTGATGCACGCCTTGAAGGCGTTGAATACGGTATCGTCTTTCGCGGAGAAGGCGATGCCGACCTCTCCACTCTTTGTGTCGAGTACCCCACGGAGGCTCACGAAGCGCTCATCCTCGTCCTCTGTTTTCACCACCACCTTGGATTTGCCGCTCCCAGGCATGATAAGCACAGGGCTCCAAGTCGGCGCACCGGAAACTGCAAGCCGCGCTGCCGGCTCCGCGCGCCGTTACCAACTCCCACAAGTTTGGATCTCCCTTTTTCCGAGATCGCTCCGGGAGATGTTCCGATCTCTCCTTTTTAGCTCGCGAACACGCACGAAACTGGCGGGAAAAGAAAAGGAAGAGGGGGGGGGGTGCCGACGACTTGAAATCGAGATAGGACGGGTCGGAGGGGGAGGGGGCGGGGGGGAAGGAGTTGTCGGTGACTCACTCGCGCACACACACACACACAACTACATTCGATGCGGCTCGCGCGGCGCCATCTCGGCCACCTCGATGGGGAGCATCGACTCGATCTGCGCCTGCTCATTCGGTGCGAGGGAGAGACGGAGGCGCTCCTTGACAATCTCATACTCCACCCAATCGAGGCCCTCGCACACATAGTTGCCGTTGACGACCTCCGTCTCCGTTAGGGCCGTATAGGCCTCGACCGATACCGGCTGCAGGCTCTTCATCGATCGCGCGTTCATGACCACCTCTATCGGTGACATAGCGGCTATAGCCTCACGGAGGTTCGGCTCCGACATCCACAGCCGCTCTCGAGTGACCTCGTACGGCTCCGCATCGCAGCCCTCACACGCCACGTTTCCGTCGACGATATCGCTCTCGGAGAGCGTCTCGTACTCGCGTTGCGAGACACTTTTGGCTCGACGCCGTGCATGTACACGGGCGTGCAATCAGGCTCGGGGCACATGGAGCGATGCTCCCCGTAGTCGTCGTCAAACTCGCCCCACTCGCAAGCGACATCAGCGTTCGGGG